TAATAGGAGTTTGTGCATCCCTGCAATCTGTATATGAAGGCCTACTTATTGCCAATCGAATGATAATGTCTTTATGAAAATTTTGTTAATTAATTGTAAGGTTGTGTCCGATCCCTCATTCGATTTATAATTATATGTTATATATTTGATTTTTTTTTTTGTGTTTATTTCATAATATGTATTAGATTTTTTTGTTGTTCGAATTCTTTTTGTGAAATTGCTTATGCAAGCTATTGAAAGAAAACTTCAATTGTGCTTAGGAGTAGGAACATGTGTGGATTCATCTCCACAATGATTAAATCAAGTTCAATCCTATCAAGAAAGAGAAATAGCAAATGCAAGGGAGGAATAGTAGCTTCTGTAGTATTAAAAAGCATTTGTGCAATTTCAAATATTTTGAGGTGGATGGAAATTTAAATCTTATCTTTATTTTTTAAAAAAATAAAAAAATCGTTAAATTATATTGCATATTCACTGTTAGAATATAATTTCAATATTTATGTAATTGATGCAATTTGTTGAAAATGAAATCCTTTCAAAACATATTTTTAGTTTTGTGCTTCCACAGCATATATACATATATGTCATAACATGTTTACGAAATCACAAACAAGAATTCTGTTATACATGACTTAGTCACAAAATAATGTGGTTCGACTCTTAGTGAAAATACAAGATTTATTTCATAAATATCTCATTATAAATATTTTAATTTTACTCCGCACAGCGTGCGGATTTAACATCTAGTTTAATGGAATGCACAAATCTAAATCTCCACATTTATCTATCGAAAAAAATTATGTCAAATGTTGAAACTTTGATATCAAAATAGACTTTTATAAGTATTATGTTACATTCAATGTGTTAATGTACTACGGCCTCAGTAATTTTTCGTTTTAGATTCGCTAGGGTCTGTACTTAAGACGGGATTTAAACTTGTCACTACACGAGGTATTGTTTTATATTTTTTTATGCCTCTTAAATGAGTTACAGATACTGTGACATTATTACCTTGGGAAGTTGCAGTGTGTAAGAGTAGAGTGTAGAGTGTAGACCACATTTGGAAACCCACTTTTCCCTGTAAAAAGATCTCTCTGTGAAGCTTGTCCCTATATATAGAGTTTGCATTGAAAATGAAAGATACAGAACCAATAAAACCCATTTTTGGCTATAATTTGCAAACCAAAGCTCACTTTTACATTAACTACGTTGTCTCTCCTGTCTTGTGCAGTCTTCCAAGTTCCAATCCCACTAACTTTTTCTTTCGGTGCTTTCCTTCAAAATTATCAAAATATCGTGTCAGCATAAATGTGTATCACCAAAAGTATTAACGAGATCCATCCCTTTTACCCTATTAAAGCAGAAGACATGAAATTTATGTAGCAACTAAGTATGTATCTGTTTTGGCTCCAATGCACCATATTTCAGATTTCATGAGTCTTTTTGCCACGTGTAAGTCTCGTTTAATTAGAAGTTATATAATTTTTTTTTAAAAAAAAACACATGTTTTACTACAAATAAGGATCAGTTACATTTCAAACGAATGGATATATTAATTCAAATTCAAATGTCCAATCGTATAGTTTTGCAGGCTTAATATAAATAAAAAATAAAAATACCTAAATCCAGCAATTAAGAATAATGCCTTATAAACTAATTATTTATTATTCCCTTATAACCTCAGATTTATAAGTATATTTTTTTAAGCCCCAAATCATAGCATAAATGATATATACGCCAAATTAATTCCTCAAAAATTAGTAATTCAATTAAATTTTAATAAAATAGTAATTTAGAAAGGGCGCCCGAACATCTGTCTGGGCCAAACATTTAGTTATGATTATATCCAAAAATGTTGTCCTAGAAATTAGTAGTTACTAATGAATTATATTGAATAAACCGAAGTCAAAATTCAAAAATAAACATTGGACAATCTTATCATCTATCTACATTCCATAAAATCAGCCATAGTTCTTCTCAATTCGTCAAATCCAAAATGTTACTATGCAAATTAAGTGTATCTAACTAGGAGCATTTAGATTTTTTTTTATTATTCAATGAATGAGGGACTTTATGTATAATTATTTAATATACTTTCTTTTTCCTTTTCAATGCACGTGTCCCTTCCTCTTAATTTTATGAAGTGGGTTTTAAAAATTTCTTTTATCTTCAAATGATTTTATTTCTTGATCCGTAATGAACTAGACCTAGAACAAACACCAAATACTAAAAATCGAAAACCAAGGAGCAAAGACAAAAAATCCAAGACCAAAGAACAAAGTGAAGAGCGAGCGTGTGTGAGGACCAAAGACCAAAGACCAAACATCAAAGACCAAAGACCAGAGTGAAGAGCGAGCGTATTTGAAAAACAAAGACCAAAAGCAAAAGGCCAAAGACCAAAAACCGAAAACTAAAGATCAAAGATCAAAGACCAGAATGAATAGCGAGTGTGTATGAGGAGCAAAGACCATAGACCAATGGCCAAAAGACCAAACTAAGCTCTAACCAACACGGAAATGCTAAAACCCCCATAAACCCTAAACACTAAACAACTAGACCCTAACCGACACGAAAATGCTTAAATCCACTAAACCTTAAACACACTAATATTTTTTTTATTTTTTTGGTTTAAATTTTTTTAAACCAAAGCATAATTGGTTTTAAAATATTTCACAAAGTTAATCATGTTACGGCACAAATTAGGTTCTAACCGACATGGAAATTCTTAAACCTTCATAAACCCTAAACCCTAAACAACTAGATCCTAATCGACACGGGAATGGTTAAACCCCCCTAAACCCTAAAAACACTAATTTTGTTTAAATTTATTTAAACCAATTAGGCTAAGGTCTCGTAAGGTTAAACCCTAAACACATTATTTTTTTATTTAAATTTTTTTAAACCAATTAGGCTAGGGTTTAAAAAAAATTATAAGGTTAATTATGTTACGGCACAAACTAGGGCCAAACCGACACAAAAATACTTAAACCCCATAAACCCTAAACAACTAGACCCTAACCGACACAGAAATGGTTAAATCCCCCTAAACCTTAAACACACTATTTTTTATTTTTTTTGTTCAAAAAAAATTTGTAAGGTTAATCGTGTTATGGCACAAACTAGGGTCTAACCGACACAGAAATGCTTAAACTCCCTAAACCTTAAACCCTAAACAACTAGACCCTAACCGACACGGAAATGGTTAAACCCCCAAATCCTAAACACACTAATTTTTTTTTTGGTTTAAATTTTTTTAAACCAATTAGGCTAGGGTCTCGTAATTGGTTTAAAAAAATTTATAAGGTTAATCGTGTTACGGCACAAACTAGGCCCTAACCAACGTGGAAATGCTTAAACCCCCATAAACTCTAAAACCTAAACAACTATTTTCTAACCGACACGGAAATGGTTAAACCCCCCTAAATCCTAAACACACTATTTTTTTTTTTTTTGGTTTAAAAAATTTATAAGTTAAACATCTTATGGCACAAACTAGGCCCTAACCAATAAGGAAAATGCTTAAATCCCCTAAACCCTAAACCCTAAACCCTAAACCCTAAACAACTAGACCCTAACCGACGAGAAAATGCTTAAACCTCCTTAAACCCTAAACGCACTAATATTTTTTCGATTTTTTATCTTTGGCCTTTGGTCTTTACTCCTCACACACGCTCGCTTTTAATTTTGGTCTTTGGTCTTTGCTCTTTAGTTTTTAGTTTTTGGCCTTTGGTCTTTGGTTTTTGGCTTTCGGTCTTTGGTCTTTGGTCGTTGGCTTTCGATCGTTGGTCTTTGGTATTTGCTCTTTAATTTTTGGTCTTTGGTCTTTGCTTCTCACACAACGCTTGCTCTTTCACTCTGGTCTTTGGTCTTCGGTTTTCGCTCTTTGATTTTCGGTTTCTACATCTTTGTTCTTTTGTCTTTGTTCCTCACACATGCTCTCTCTTTACTCTGGTTTTTGGTCTTTGCTCTTTGGTATTCAATTTCTAGTCTTTGGGCTTTTGGCCTGGTCTTTTCTGTAGGTCTTGATCCTAAAAGACATAAGTAAGACTAGAATGTCTTTTAGTAAGACCAAGGCTACTGCATAAATTTTTTTAAGTTTCGAAAAATATATTCATGATGGATCATGTTGGATAGATCTCATCGAATACTATTAAATCGATATAAGACATTTGATGTAATTCTTTACGGATTGAGAGAAAAATCATTTGAAGATTAAAAATATTTTGAAACCCATTTATTAAAAATAAGGAAAAATATTGTGTGTGTTTTAATAACTCATAAAGACTTGCATATTTAGCTCTCCTTCCTCTGTACTAATTGTCAAATAAGGGTCTATGTGTACCTAGCTACATGCATTTAATGTGTATGGTATAATTTTCGAAAATGTTTGAAGACTAGAAATTCCAGTTCAAGCGATGGTTTTATTGTGATTAAAACGAAAAGTTAAAACCATATTTTACCCCAGGAAATAAATTTATAAAAGAAAATATAGAAAAGAAGGAAGAGAGGGACGTGGAAAAAAGAAAAAGTCAAAGATACAGAACGGAATAGTAAAACCCATTTTTGGCTACAATTGCAAACCAAAGCTCACTTACATTAACTACGTTGTCTCTCCTGTCTTGTGCATCTTCGATCCCCACTAACTTTTTTTTCCGTGCTTTCTTTAAATATTACTACTTCCGTCCCGCTTATAAAAAAAAATTCATATTAAGTTTTTAAATTGTATTAAAAATTGTTTAAAATTCAAAACTTAACATACACCATTTTTATGGGATGGAGGGAGTACAATTTCTGTGATGCTCTCAAGCATTTGTTGCATATTTATTTAATCGATTAGTTATTTATTACTTCTACTGAGTTTATTCATTTTTTGACTCGTAGAAAATTAAAAAACAAGGAGTAAAAGTTAAAATAGAAACGAAGGAGAGAGGGGACGAGGAAAAAAGAAAAAGTCAAAGATACTGCATTCTGCCTTTCTGGAAGAGAGAGAAAGAGGAAAACAAACACAAAAAGCTCTGTACACACAGACTTCTCTGTAAGAAAACCAAAAAAAGATTTGTAATGACATGAAAAAAAAATCAGACCTTTAAAATTATCCATCCCACGTCCCCCACTTCCCTTCTCCACCGCCCATTTCCTCCTCCCCCACTTTCCACCGACAGTATGCCGCCGTCACCGTCGCCGATAACCACAGCCTTCCATACTTTCCTCCTCCCCTTTTTCCTCTTCTTCCTCCTCCTCACATCCTCCACCACCACCACCACCACCGCAACCGCCCAGGAACCAGATCTCGACGCCGACTGCACCAACAGATGGATCCACATCCGCCACCTCCCGACCCAATTCAATCTCGACCTTTTAAAAAACTGCTCCGAATACCCTGTTTTCGACAATTTCTGCCCGTACCTCTCAAACCACGGCCTTGGCCAGAAAACCCACAACAACTCCCACAGTTGGTACCGTACGGACCCTTATATGCTTGAATTAATCTTCCATCGCCGTATGTTAGAATACCCCTGTATCACCCCTGATCCCACCATAGCTAATGCTGTTTTCCTCCCTTACTATGGCGGCATTGATAGCCTCAAATACCTTTACGGCCCTGAAGTCAACTCCAGCTTCGAACACGGCCTTGATTTGTATCGTTACTTAGCTCATCAGGATTCGCCTGGCATATGGCAAAGGAATTTCGGCCACGACCATTTTTTGGTCATTGCTAGATCTTCCTGGGACATTAACCAGCCTCTGTCGAATGATCCGCCAATTTATGGTACATCGTTTCTTGAATTGCCTGAATTTTATAATGTCACGGTGTTAACGTTTGAGGGCAGAGCTTATCCGTGGCAGGAAATGGCGATTCCGTATCCAACTTCTTTTCATCCTCCGAATTTAGCGTATTTTGAGGCGTGGATGAATAGGTTGAGGAAGAGTAGGAGGACTAATTTAGCATTGTTTGCTGGTGGGGGTGGATTTTCTGCAAATCCCAATATCAGGAGGAGTATTAGGCTTGAATGTGACAATAGTACTAGTATGAATTTGAATGGTACTAGTACTAGTAGGTATACTAAGTTGTGTGAGTTTGTTGATTGCTCGAACGGGATCTGCGAGCATGATCCAATCAGGTTCATGAAGCCAATGTTGCAGACAACTTTTTGTTTGCAGCCTCCTGGTGACACCCCGGCTAGGAGATCGACATTCGATTCGATCCTCGCCGGTTGTATACCAGTGTTCTTCGAGGAACTGTCTGCGAAGAAACAGTATCGATGGCATTTGCCAGAGGAGAAGTATGAGGAGTTCTCTGTTTTCATACCCAAGGAGGAAGTTGTGTTCAAAGGGTTGAGAATTTTGGATGTGCTGATGAGTATTCCGAGGGCTGAAGTGAGGAGGATGAGGGAAAAATTACTGGAAATGTTGCCTAGAGTAATGTACAGGAAACATGGGAGCTCAATTGGTTTGAGAACCAGAAAGGATGCATTCGATATAGCAGTTGACGGCACTTTGGAAAGGATCAAGTCCAGATTGCACCAAATGGATTGATTCATTGTTGTAACCTTCTTTTTTTTTTTTTTAATAGCTTCAGAGCAGTTTTGGTTATTTTTATACTTGGTAATTATTGTTTAGATATCAAACCAAACCCAGATATGTATTTTGTAAAGGATATAGAGATGTAGCATTAGTAGTATTTATTACCAGGAAGCATATGGTTCTGCTCATACTTCCTGAGAGCAGGTTGTGTTATTACACGGTGTAACAATAGAATCAGAGAGGAAATCCATTTTTTACTTTTTTCCGCCGTTTGTTGCTCTTCTTGTCTTATTGTTTACTGTTAATTTTATGATGTATCAGCACTCTCTTGGCCTACATTACCCACCATTTAGAAAACATCAGGTTCAGAGTTTCAAACTTCCAATCATGTTTATATCGAAAATCCAACTAGCCGAAGTAGAGGAAATATTCAGTCCGTGGATGATGTTGAGGAAGATATCTTTCACATATGGCTTCATACATTTAATGAAATTTTATATATGGCTAGAGCCCCTAACACAACAAGCACCAGTGGTCTAGTGGTAGAATAGTACCCTGCCACGGTACAGACCCGGGTTCGATTCCCGGCTGGTGCATATCCTTCAACCATTTTTATTTTGGGTTTTAATTTTTTCATTTTTGGTAGTAATACAAATGTTGGTCCCGAATAAAGCTGGCATCGAAATCTTTTATTTTTGTTTACCCAAATGTTTGAAAGCTTCGCTGGTATGGAAATTTGGCGTCGACACTGGCATTCGCATTTCAAATCTGTGCTAAAATGAGTTACTTATTTTTACATTCACCATGTAAAGAACCAAGGTATTGTAACCCAGCTCAGATTGTTGGAAATTAATGTCACGATCTTTTAGAAATAGGTTCACTACACTACATGTTTACATCTCTAAAGATTAGATAAACTAAATTAAATTTAATCAAAATGGGGGAATCGGAGCATCAAGTCATTGAGGCACTTTCGCCAAGTACTTCAGGAAATCATCTTCTGCCTGTAATCGTAGGTGTTCATCTTGCCATTGGTCTCTGTATGTCTCGGGGTGAGACCTCTTTCTTTTGGAAGTATCGGCATACATCTGCTTTCTCCATTCCTCAATCGGTGGACAGCCACACTTGGACGCCAACCAATCATCGTATTCAAACTGTTGCATTAGACGAACACACAAAACCATGCCACAGTTTTACGATCAAAAGTTTCAACCTGTGAAATATGCAAGTTAGTGTAAGTAAGATATACCTGATAATCAGCTAGGTTATGTGTATATCGCTTTGGCAGACCATATGCTTCCAATGATGCATAGAAATCTTCGACCTCAGCCATCATTTCCTTAGGGCAAGGAAGCAACAGTCGACCAGATAAGAGTCCAGCTATCCATTTGCTCTGAAGCTCAAAAAGGGGAAAGGGAACAACCTAAAGAGGCAAACAATCAAAGTTCAACGCCAACGATGTGTACATTGAACAATAACATTACATCAACAAAAGAGAGCATGTCCTCGAGAAAGATTACCTTCCATGGCAAGCCAACAAATGAAAGCCGTGGAGCCAAGGCTGGTGGGAAAATGTGCTTGTAAAGTGGGCCAACTCGATTGTCGTCCACAGTGACAATCCCATTTGTCTCAAGAAATGGAAAGTGATACTTGTATCTAAATAAAGAAAGGAATAGTTAATTACAAGTGCATATCAAGCCATAGTAGCAAACGCGCATACTAAATTTAGTGGACATACCCTGTACAATGTAGTATGATATCAGCAGAGACTACTTTCCCATCTAGGAAAGCCACCGAACCATCTCCATGGACTCTTTTTATCTGTACATGGTCTATTAATGATCACTTTCAAGGTACAAAATATTTTCAGCATCAAGTAATTTTGAAATATGTTGCTGCATGTCTGCCAAACAAAGGATTTGGAACTTTACCATTGGATGAAGCCAAATATTATCATAGCCAGCCAGCTTGCCTTCATTACCATCTTCCATAGACCGTGATGATATATGGACTTCTTTAGCAACTCCAGAAAGCTCCCTAGAGATATCAGCTGCGCTATTTGCACTTCCTATCAACACCACTACCTGCCAGAGTATTTCATATTAAAACCACTTGACAAATCAATAAAAGCGCACGAAAAATGAGCATCACGGAGTTTGATTTAGGCTTCAGTCAGACATGATATCTTCCAAGTCTGCAAACTAATAAGCTTCTTACCAACTGAAGTAAGCAAAGATTCGCCCTGCTGGCCCCTGGCCCATAATTCCATTCCAAGTTTCCAACACATTAAATTATATTTCCATGGAAAAAAGAATTCACCTTTAAATCACTAAATAAACCGATAGAGAAAGGACATTATGTAGCCATTAACATGAAAGAACAGAAGAATAGATTAGTGGAAGAACTTTCCAATTATCAAAAAGCAAGCGTCCAACCAACCCCTATAATAAGTGAATAATGAGATTATTTCATGTCCAATGACGTGGCTTTTTTAGTAAACCAATTTGCAATCCAAAAAATCTTTAACTTAGCAAAGTTACTTTAAGGGACCTCAAAAAGCCTTCCTTCTAATAAGGGTTAGAAATGACATTCTAAAAATATCATTAACTAAGCAATTCCTGAAATATCATTAACTAAGCAATTCCTCGTAAGCTTTAACTTAACATATGTCATTCGGCTCTAAAAGATTGGGAAATAGGAAAGCAAGGGAAAACAAGGAGCACCTGGCACATACTTGATCTTGGAACCGCTCAGGGTGACGATAATTGTGGCTGTGAATTTGTCTCCCAGGCCAGCTTTCAATTCCTGAAATTTGTTACAACATCAGTTAAAGAATTGTAAAATTTCCAAAACTGCACAATGATGACTTCTGGAGAATGGCAGTCCAAAACAGCTGTTGCTCTGAGCAATACAGCACAGGATTGAATGTTTAATACGTAAAAAGGAAAGAAACCGAACATATTATGTAATGCAGGGGAAGCAGTTCTCAGTTAATGGCACATTAAGCTTCATTTTCGAACTACGAAAACATTATTTAATCCTGGGTATGCACGGCCTCTCATCATTCCCGATCCAAAAAGTCACACCCATAAAACTCTTAAAAAAAGTCACGCCCGTAATTGCCATATTGCTATATCTACTTTCCGTACTAAAGTTATTACTCCAAAGGATACTAACTAATACAACATTGTCGTAAGTGAAAGATGCAATTGTCCAAATTCAAACCCAAAATTTTTTCACCATAACCAATCAAAAATCAATCATGAGCGAACATCTCAATATGCTACTCCCGACAATTACACCTCTTTGGACCTTACTCTTTCAGGCAAATAAAAGTTCAAATTACAGTTCTGCAAGTCGTCACTACCTAGAATATACACCATCGTATGGAATCCATAGATGAAATCATGATCAACTATTCGAATAATCCCAAAAATTCACTGCCGCACATTTTCGATGAGATAAAATTGATTAAAAAAAACCAATAATTACCGGGAATTTCAGCGAGTCGAGGCTCCGTGTAATGTCCATTACAAACAACAACAGCATCATAAACCTCGTCCAACTTTTCTTGATCTTTTCCCTCAATTCTCCTTGATTTCACATTCCATCTACCCTCCTCCGTCAATTCCACTTTGTTTACCTCGATCCCAAATCTCACCAGCTCATAAATACCGAAATCGCGAGCAAAATCCTTCAAGTATTCCAACACTTCACTGTGACAGGGGAACCTCCTCTGATCCCGGTCAGCACCCTTCTTAGCCACAAACGGGAAGACCCGATAACCCATTACTTCTCGGGGCAAGTTGGTGCGGAGAGAAGCGTAGAGGCTGGAATGGACAACATTCCGGGCCGGGTCAATCCCGATAGGATCGGATTCGGTGTCGGGCATGTACAACCATGTTCCCCCGACTTGGGTTTCCCTCTCGAAAACAACCACCTTGTGACCCTCTTGTCGGAGCTCATGTGCGGCGATGAGACCGGCGGCTCCGGCACCGATGACGGCGACGTTTCTGGAGGCAATTGGAGACATGGGAGGTATAGGAAACCGAATCATTTTTTTTTTTTTCGAAACGGTAACTGTATATTGCCTATACTATTACAATGTTATTTAGCCTAAGCTAAATTATGTAATCCACTGATACCGAATTAATATACAGGTAGGAAACCGAATCGTTGGGAGTACCGTAGGAACCACCATTGTCTTTTTAGTAGTAGTATTATTATTATTGGTTGGCGTAGTGTGTGTACGTGGAGAGTTCTGTTCGTGTTCGAAAGGGGAACGATGTTGCATTCTGTCCAGGAAAATTAAAAAAAAAACAATATTACGTAGTAGTAGTACAATGTTGAATGATTGGAATTATCTTTCTTTTTTCTTTTTAAGAAAATAAATAAAAATCTTTTGCCCATCATTTGATAGAAAAAGATTTCAACCTTTTATATCAACCTCTAAAATTTGCAATTTTCCACATAATAAATTTTGTATAATATTGCTACCATATTACATAAATTCTCAATCGGGACGAATCGTCGGCCAGCTGTTATTTTAGCATTTTAAATTGAAAAGAAAAAAAATTGTTGAAAATCGAATATCGATTTTAATAGTTTATTTATTATAGTCCTAAAATGATTGGGTAAAAAAGTATATTCTAATAAATACATACTAAATGCTTGGATCTGCCCGGACAGCCTCCTCTATATTAATATTCCGTTACTCGATAAATGAATTATTAATTTGAAAAGAATTAAATGGGCGTATATATGTTTTCTGATATGATTTGTGCCCGAAGCATCTTTATTTTAAGTCGACTAAATGACCATATTAAATTTTGAAAGTTTACTGAAAAAAACAACACAAATAAAACTCAATGTGGGACAAAGCTAGTAATAATCAAATTATCGAAGAAATTTGATAGTCACAAATCAAATATTTTAATAAAAAGTGAATTTAAATATATAAAAAATAATTCAAAAAAATCATGTCAATTCCAGTACAGACTAAAGATAGATCATCTCTAAATCAGAGATCGCTGGATTCAAAATGAATAATACTTTGCCCATAGGCATGGAGCAACCTTAAAAACTTTGGCCAGCTATCCCACCCATCGAGGTGCCTACAATCCAGCAAGGGGAATTAGTCACTATTGCCGACGGTGGATACCCTGTAAATATGAAAAAAAAAAAGAAGGAATATTCGAAGAGAAAAACTCTAGTGAATCATCATTGACTAATTCATAGAGTTGACAGCAGTAAAGGAAATTAATTTATTGTGTTATCACATGGATTATATTTTGATGTAAAAGTTAATATAGTGAAGTGAAAACATAATAAAAAAGAGTAAATATTACTACTATTTGAAGTTATTTTACATCAAATAGTTTGAAAAGCTAATTTACAAACTTGTAAAAAGGCACCACTGAGAAGGTTTTCCTCAATTGATTTTTTGTCATTACTTCAAACCAAAATACAACCACGTTGTCAGTATTCCAAACCAGAGTTTTGGAAGCAATGCCATCGTAGATGAAATATCTGGTATGTACTTTAGCTCACGACCTCGCCAACTAATGCTTCTGTCAGAAAATATTTAATCCAATGGATATAGAAATATGATAATCATAATTAAAACTATTTAAACTGTATTAAGCATGATTAAAGTAAACGAAAAAAAAAGCAGAAAATAAAGGGAGGAAAAAAATTCCATGTGGATCCATGATCCTTGATCCATCATCTTACGACATTCTGATCATATGTTAACCATGTTTTGTATATGAATACTGAAACTCAAAGAGGCAATGTTTAAGTACAGAAGGTACCACAGTTTTTAAGGGTCTTAGAAATTCTGGAACCCTTATCTCCTTTATTCATGAATGTTTCAAATTCATATTTTAATTTGGCATCTAATCCCCGAAATCACTCTCATCTTTTCACAAAATCAATCTCTAAATCCCGAATGAATAGCTTCCAAAAGACAACACAAATTCTTTCCATATTATCTTTCCATTCAATCAGAAAAATCAAAATTCAAAAAACATTTTCATTGCCAATTCTTTCGCATCTAGGTTTTGAAACAATTAAAGGCTATAAATCCATATCTGACCAGATTCTCGCTCCCATTTCTTCTGACCAGATGCATTTGCTCTGTACCACTGAGTAGTAGATATCATTCTAGCGGCCGCCTATTTGCGATCCATACAGACACCTAGGAGAGAAAGATGGGTACTTGCGTGGATGCTGACGTCCTCCCGATGCCTAAGCCGGAGGATCATGGCTAGGGATTTTCATCTTCCGACGAAGCGGCGTTGGTTGATAAGTTCCAGAATGTAGTAGGGCTTTATCCACACTACGGCGACGGTGGTGATTTTGTGTTTTGGTGATTATTTTGTTTTCCTTTAGACGTGCTTGATTTTGTGAAAAATTGCTGATGATGCAAGATATGTGGAATGCACTATCTAGGATCAGGCCCACCAAATCAGCCCCTTCTCCATTCGGGAACCCTCTCGGGGTCTCAGATTTCGCTCTGAGGCATCGCTCACAAAGTCCCAGTTGGTGATATGCCTTATGTTCGGGCCATGAATGTTCGAGTAAGCTTTCATTCCGCTCTTGAATATCCAATTTGTTGTATTTTCATCTCGATTGTTGCATTTCTGTTTGAATTGATGTTTCATTTTGCTGCATTTCTGTTTATTGGACTCAATTCTGATTAAGTTTGTAAAATTGTAACTTTTGTATTCTCAGTATTGATGTTGATGTTGATTAATTTTGTTCTTGATGTTGTGAGAAGGTTGAAGCAGGATTGACTCTTCTCAGACTAAGGAGCTGTCACAATGTTTCAATGTTAGATACTTGATTCCTTACTGTAAGAAGTTAAAATCGTAAAAATTTGTTCTGATTGTGTTACCTAAAACAATTTCAACTTGGTTTAGAAAATGAATTTTTTGAATATGTGATGAAGCCATTTATTAGGAGGATATTTTGGGTAAAATTTCTTTGCAACAGCAGAGTGCCGCGTGTTGAATTTCTGGGTATAGCTTTTTTGTTTAGGCGGGAAAAAAACTCATGTGAAACTAACACGTGTCGTAAGTGTCATTTGATTTCATGAAGTGTTAAGGGTTTAAATAATTAAATGAGCCCGATTAGCTTGAGATTTGGAATTACATCTATCCCAGTAAAAAATTTACATATTAAGTTAATATTCAATGGCAATTGCTTGTTCCTCTTCTTCATTTTCCAGTGGTTGCTGTTGTGCAATACTTGTACTTCAATGTTTTGAATTTGAGCTGAACTTGAATAGTGGTTAATAGAAAATTTTTGTTGTTAATGGCTTCGAGTGGACATTGAAGTAGCAACATAATTTTGACAAAAATTTAGGAATTTGATTTTGGAGTTTCAATAAATGATGTTTTTTTTTCATATTTTTTTATCCTTGATTTTAGTTTATAAATGATGTCCTTTTTGGTATTGTATTTTTGACGGGAAATAATCTTTTGTGCAGCAGCTGCTTTCAATAAGTAAAAATAGATTTCATTTTTTTGGTTTTATACTTTCAAGTTTCAACTTTATTTTTTCAGTTAGTTCTATTTCGTATCTCACAAGCTCCATATTGTTATGGTTAAAAATTGTGAAACTAAAATTAATAGAATCCGCGCGAAATCATTAGAAAAACCTTTGGTTCATACGTGATAGATGAACACCACGTTAGTGTATTTGTTGTTTATTGAGGGAATGAGGATCTTCCCGTCCCACCGTTAGAGTTTTGTTTAATGAATTATAATGATATTTTGGGAGGGGCAAAAAAAAGTAGAAGAAACTTCTGGTGTTGGTCTATTATAAGATAAAAGTTTTTTTTTTTTTTTAAAAAAAAGATTCTAATTATAAAGAACCTAATCTATTACAATATATTTTGTTATACACTGATTTATGAACTTCATCTACATCTAGTCCATTGGCTTTAAAGATTTTAAAAAATGAAAAACTCGAAATTAGATTATGCAATAGGGTAATAATTTCCTGAGCTTCCATCGGGATTGGTATCTGATTGAGATAAAGAGTAAGCATCTCACCGTCCGTGAACACCTTAGCCTAATGATTTTAAAATTGGAAGTTTCGCGTAGTGCCAACAAACAAGTTAATGCCTCCGATTGAAATGGAGTTAAGACTTGCAATATTATTGCTTTCATCTGTATAGTCATATTTGTTGGAGAGGTGATTTTTCTCGCCCCAACTGCACAACGAGAGATTGGATCAAAAGAACCATGTGTTAGATTGTTAGCATGATCAAAAGAACCATATGTATTCATAAATTAAGAGTGTTATATCAAAAGTCAAAAGTATTTTTAAATAAAATTCCTGTGATATTCTTTGTAAAAGTTTAAAAATAAAAAAATAAAAAAGAAGAAGACGTTGAATTAGTAACTCATTTCAAAGTCATTTAAAAAAAAAAACTCATTTCAAAGTCAAACTCAATAAAATAAATAGATACATATAAGGGAAATCACTCTTTTCTTTTCTTTTTTTTACGATTTTTAATCATTACTCCCTATTTCTCTATCGCACTTAGGTGTCAAAATCAACAATTTACTACTAGTTGCCAACTTAACTGAATTGCGTGTGCATCTCAAATTACTCAGTGATAACTGTTACTGGTAATCATGCATTGTTAAGGAAAATTTTAGGTCCTTTCCATCTTCTACAATGTGATAATTGTACTCCTACCGATCTTGTTTGAGGAGCAAATCAACATTTTGTTTAATTTAAATTACACCAGTCATTCTGGTGAACTCTCAATCCATTTTTTTTTACCTTGGTGTTTTGTCACTAATAATAGACCAGTTTCACCGTATAGCCAAATCTCAACCCATTTTCTCTCTCAACCTCTACATTAAAACTATTTCAAAAAAAAAAAAAAAACCTCTAAATTAATCTCTTATTCTGATGCTAATCGGAGCCAATTTTTTGCTGATTCTCAAATATTTTTTAAGAAGACGTGCTTCACTTCCAAGTTCCAAATGATCTTTTTACCCATATGGAGCACAACTTTGCTCAATTAACGCTGCTTCATAGAAGATTCACAATAGACACAATATGAGTATCTCAAGTAATTTCGACAAAATTTAAAAAATAATAAAGAACAATTGCAGAAAAAACTCTACGAAGAATGTTGTTACATTTATTACACTAAATCTCACTAAATCACTCCATTAAAAAGACACACTTTTCTTCATTTTTGGGCGAATCATAATTGGTAACAAAGAATAACAATAAAAAATAAAAATAGCATAACGTCTAAAATGACAAAATTTGACGTCACAAAGTCTTTATATTCACAAGAATGCAGTCTTCGCACTTGGCAGTGAGAAAGGAAAGTACTACTACTACTTACCAAAGAACAATTCCACATGACCCCATCATTATTACTTTCTTACCGTTATTCCTACAGCCTCTCAGCTTCCCAAAAAGTCCAAAACTACAGCTGCAGTAAATAAAGTAATCAATTCACGCAACAATTTCCGAAGATTACTGAGATTTTTCGTTTTTACGATGCAATCCTAATTTTTACTACCTCCTTCTCACAAAGTCCACTTTTCACAAGAAAGGGTCTATGTAACCTTAGTTAATAAAATTAACTACTACCTAACTCAAAAATCATTTAGAGACAAGGAAAATTTAGGTAAATTAAACAATATTATGCATTAAGATACAAGTAGTATTATATTTTGATATAATTCAAAATAGAAAGTAGACTTACATTGGAAAAAGAGAGATACCACATTTTAGAACATATATACTAAAATAATGCGATCATACCAATCAATGTAAGTTGTAATGACTGACCATGTCCATTTTCTATCCTTTTTCTTTTCATTATTTTTAATAGCTTACTACTCCAACTAAATTCCTATAAACTGTTGTGGAAAATATAATTATAATTTTGAAACACTAGGAATATATATATATATATATATATATATATACATATGTATATACTTATTCATGACAAAAAGAGATTCAAAATAACGCAAGTAATTCTACTGATCAAACGAAAGTGGAAAACTCGGTTTCGTACGTACAAGGTCTTATCTCTTAAAGTATTAATATGAGTACTTCCTCCACCATAGAAGAATTATATTAAAAAAAAAAATGTCAACAAAATACAATTAAAAAAAATGTCAACAAAATACACTTAAGATTTTATTTTTAGTATAACTTGAATTATAAATGAAAAACCAAACTGGATAATAATTATGGGATGGAAGGAGTATTACAAATGACGTAACATTGCCATTACGGATTTGGTCTTTGCCTATTTGGTACCAAATTGCAAAAAGATCTGTACAAGGAGAAGAAGTTGGCAACTTGGCATTTTGGGGGACCTACAATTCCATATTAGCAAAGCAGCAGAGGGGAACAGGGGTATAAAAGTAAACTCGTAGGAAACTTAACCAAGGTACTACTAGCCTACTTAGGCTAGAAGCCTATAAGCCTATCATATACTACTACTACTCTTTACTAGCTGAAAAGCAAACCAGACTAGTGAAGAAGACAGGGCGAGATATGTAAATTCACATAAGAACACACTCTTCTCTCAGCAATGGCCAATTTTTATTTATTTTTCTTACTTTTTGTCCCCTTTTGCAGAGTGGTTAACAGCCCCACTGCTCACACCAATGTTCTGACATGTAACCTCCCTCTCTCTCTTCTCTCTCCCTCTTTATAAATCCCAGATATCCCAAAGCTCCATATCTTTCCTTTTCTTTTTCCTTTTTATTATTTTTTTTTGGGGCATAACAGAAACAGAGAAGAAAAGGGTGTTGATTGATTTGATTCACCAGAAATTAGCTTCTTCCCATAAGCCCAAGACAGAAAACCCACCATTATTAACCAGTTTGTCATTCCCGATTTATTTGGTTTTTTGATGCCCACATATAAAAATGCAATTTTTATGGTTGTCATTTACGTTGAAATGATGCATATACACAGATATGGAAAGGAGACGGATTAAAGCATTAATTTTTTGATCGTCTAGGATCACTAAATATGGGGTCTTAAATGTTGTTTCTGTGTGTGTGTGTGTTTGTGTGGCTCTTCTTACCACAGTCCTCAACTTCCGCTCTCTCTGCTCTCTCTCTATCTGTCTATACTCCTCTCCTCTGGTGTTTTTAACGTGTGCAGGTTGGTGGGAGAATTTAGTGGAACTGTTTTTTTTTCCGGGTTGTGATAATGGCGAAATGTTGTTCTGTTTCTGCTTCCTCTCTTTCTCATGGTATATATCGCTTTCTCCTTCTCTCTCTCTGTTTTGCTTTTTCTTCAATCTTTGATATGTGTGTGATTTGTTTGTTCGTGAATGCGTTTATATGGGTACGGGTTTCCGGGTTGGATTATTTTTTTCCCTTCTGATCTTTTGTCATTCATGGCTTCCTTTGTTCATTGGAATGTTGGGTTTATTTGTGGATTACTCTTTTCGTACTATGAGTTCACATGCAGTTGTTCTTCAATGGGGCTGTAAAATAGTTGTACTTCTGTTTAAGAAATTGGAATGATGCTAGAAGAAATGAACTGTTGTTCTGGATCTTACAAGTATTCTGTCATGTTAAGCCAGGATGAAAATCAATTTATTTTTTGTTTTTTAACTGCAATTTTATAATGCTGCTGTAGGGATTGACTTTGTCCATACCCAGAGTACATTTTCTGTATTTCTCTATTATTATTATTTTTGTTTGTTTTCTTGTATTGGGAATTAAAGTATTCCTCTCCCTTCCCACTTTGCTATCTTGCCAATCTGCTTGTTTCCTCTTAAGTTTGTCCGTTATTCTTCGTTCTTCTGTGTAAAAGAATACTGTGTATATTTAAACGAGTATGTAGAGTGATGCTTAGGAGACCTGGTCAAAAGTCTGTCTCTCTTTACATTCCTCAGATGGAATTTGTCTACTGTTTGGCCAGCAAAGAATTTGCATGTTTTAATATTTAAAAAATGATGATGATGATGATGATGCAATAGCGTGTGAGAGTTGATATATCAAGCTTAGGCTTCTGAAGGAAATGAGTCGGTAGCGTGTCTTTAGGGACCAAGATATGCATTTGACTTGAGGCAGCCGTGGTGATATCACTACAATCCTTTTTGGCTTTAGTCTATGAATGTCCAACATTGTTGGTCATTTTTCTTAAGCACAATTTTGTTCTTTGCACCTTTTGCTGAATCTTCTTTTCTAAGGTTGGTGTTTATGGATGTTGTTGGGTGTTTCTGAGTTCCTGTCAATATGTGCCTGTAGGCCTGGATAAGGTGTAGTATTTGTACGAGAACTTTTCTTCGTAGACATCTTAATGTTGGGAAATCTTCAGGAACTTTTTGATATCCTGCATTGGAGAGTAATGGTGATCCTTGGAATTTCCTTGAGTTAAAATTTTTGATATCATCTTTGCTTTTGGAATTTTCTGCTCCAAGCCTATCTTTAAGCAGATTAGGAACTGTAGATCATGATAGGAATTTTTCACCTGATGGATTTTGTAGTATTCATAGTAATATGTTGTATGATTAGTTTTGCAGCATCATGGCTTTTATCACAATTTCAAAGTTCCTGAAAAGATTTGAGTGCTCGTGAAATGCGGCATAAATCCAACTGAGAAGTATTCTGGAGGAAAATGATGCCCATAGCTGGTAATCATCATTTGAATATGATGATGTATTTAGATGATGATTCATTTAAAGAAGCTGTAAGGCTGAAGATGCTGAATCAGGAGGCCACATTCAGAAATCAGGTAATGAAAATGTAACTACTTCTTCATCTGAAAACCTTATCTGGTGCCTGGGAGCTTAGAGTTCTTTGAATTACACATGGGATTTACCGAATTATTATAAGTTTCTGATTGGGACATCCTCAGCTCTCATGTAGCCAGTGAAATGTGATCTACCTTCCTGAAACTGAAACTCCCTAACTTCATGGAGGTTTTTTTTTTTTTTTTTTTTTTTGGGGGTTCAGATTTGCCACATGCATTTTGTGAATCACTACCTGATGTTTTAAATTTGATGGTAAATTTATCTCACATTTCGCTATTAAGGCAAATAATATGCTGGAGAATTGGCTGTTCATCTTAAATATTACTACCTGATGACGGGGATGCTTTGGGGATATGCTAACTGTTTCTGCTTTCGATTGACTAAGGAGACAGCATACTGTCTTAGTTTATATGTAAAGCTCATTGCCTTTTTGCTGTTGTTCAGGTTCAGGAACTTCACCGGTTGTATCAGATACAGATGACACTAATGAAGAATTTTCAATTGAAAGGGGTAGGTTCATTAGGAACAGATAATTATTGCCTGTTGCTCTTCCTATTATACGTTTGTACCATTTAAAAGCACTTTTGTTTCTTCAAACTAAGCCAACGGTCATTTTGGTGTCAATAATATGAAAATAAGTATTCCTAGCTTTTTTACCCACTAAATATCAAAACAGGAATTTGTTATGTTATTCTAAAAGGGCTTCCAGAGAAGGAAACACTCTTCTATAACATTGTGCCTACACATTCTAATTGCCTATTGTTTATCCTGAATTTTCTTTTTATCTTTTACGACATAATTTCTTCCTCTTTATCTGAGAAGAGCTTGATTGGTGCATGTTCTTCAGGTGCTTGCCAAACAATCTGTGAACTGCACTTCACAAGGCACCTTCCAAAGGCATTTAGATGCTAATTTTTCAGCCAGGGTCCGCGAAGGCCATTTCGACCAGCATTTTCTAGACAAAAGAGATGGTCGGGGTACTAGGGAAAATCCTGTACAAGTGGAAAACTATTTCCCTGGTGATACTGAATCTTCTCTGGATGATGTTGAGCTCTCTTTGAGTATTGGCGAGGGCACTAAGCAAAAGAGGTGGCAAAGGGAAATTTTCCATCAAACTCCCACTTCTGCCTCCTCCCGAGAGATAATTGACTTAGAAGAATCAAGTTGCACTGAGTTGAGTGGAGATATTAAACCCATATTTGATCTTGGCTGCATCGCTGGCTCTGCTGATTCTAGAGACCTGCAGGTTTATAGATCCAACTGCTTCTCCATGAATCGTGAAAGTAAACATGTAGCTCATGGGGTTAAGAGATCTCTGTCATTTGTGGATGAGTGTAAAACTCATCTGGAGCAGAACTCCTTAAATGAAGGTGTGGAACTCTTTAATGCCTCAGTTGATGCAGCCTTAGAATCAGGACATGGCATGCATATTGCCAGAAAACAGATTGAATTGCTCCCAGATGTGAGTATATCACCCTTGACCAAAGTGTTTACTTCTCATGAAGCATTGTGCTTGGACCTAAATAAGCCTCTGCCAGATGAATCACTTTTTGACCCGAAGGAGCAGCCACTGGATTTAGGAGGTGGCTGCTCTGATGTTACTGAAAGGGTGGCAGATGATGTTCATAAAGGCTCGTCTCCTGATGCAACTAGCTGTAGCTTAGTTGTAAATAACTGCTCAGATGAGGTTTCTGCTATAATTGAACGAGATCCCCTGAATTTTGAGGTTATGGCTTCTAATAGCAACAACAGTAGCACGAGTTCTAGAAGTGGCAAAGCTCTCTCTCCTGGTAATGAGTCTAGTTCAGGACCATCCAACTGCTGTGATATTCATCACTGTCTCCTTGCTAACTCCCATCATAAAGATGCAGATCAGTTAGGATCGAACTTCACTGGGAGAAGTGATAAAGGTCAAAGAGTGACGGGAGTGAAAGATGACATCTTGAACGACAAAAATGCAGTTCGTATGCATATGTGTTGTAGGGCTGATCCTGTTGAAGACTTAAATAGTTCTCCTGCCTCATGTAAGTCTATTATTATGAAAATTGATCGTTCATGCAGTTTGAAGACCATGCAGTCAGGAATTTATCTTGGAAAAGCTGATCCGTCTCTCATAAATTCCTCCCCTAATTCTGAGTCATCTCAGAATGAATCTTCTAGTCGGGATGAATCGAAATCAAAGTCCTTGGATGAGAAGAGAAAGGGATCAACACCTGATGATTTTCTGGTTCGAAGAGGTGCTATATCTCTCATGTACCTGTTTCTTGAAAGCTCGAGAAGAGAACACAGTTGCATTACAAAGTTTGACGAGGTGAATGAGAATGGTAAAGGGAAGAGGGATCAGCCGCAGCATTCTATTGATACTTACGAATCAATGGTTCTGAAGCAGCAAGAAAGCAACATAGACGACTATTGTGTGACCTCAAATCCTCCAGAAGTGATTGGCACTGACAAAAAAGATTTCGGAGTTAAAGTGAGAAGGGGTAGGAGAATGAAAGACTTCCAGAAGGATATTTTACCGAGCTTGGCATCTCTCTCCAGGCATGAAATTTCTGAAGATATCCGAATTATGGAGGGAGCAATGCGATCCAGGGAGTACAAAAGACTTCGATCCAAGACGTGCTGTGAACAGAAATGGTTTACTCCTGTAAAAAGTAAGAGGTCAAGGCTCAATTATGTAGGCAGAAAATACAACTGACAAGCTTCGTCGTAACTAGTAACATCTTTAGTTCATAGAAAGATTCCATAATCTAGGGTGAGGATATTTGCCTGGAATTGATTTAGAGGTCGTAAGTTACCATTTCTTGACAGTGAGATGATACTGCATTTTCCATTATCAGTGGACTTATTCGGCTAACCTGAGACAAAAATTAAAACTTTCTGCCCAATATGGCACGAATTCAGTTTTCATGACGATACTGCATTGTTACAAAATAATGGAAATATTGAAAGCATAGGTGAAGAAAATGCTGCCAGCATAATTGATAATACTTCATCATATCAGTTTGTGGCAAAAAGATCAAAGCTTTGCCATAAAATAAAGGAAATTTTGTGACCGGGGGCGATTTGACATATAACCAGACTCTAAAGATATTTCTTTTTTCTGTTTTTCCATTAGTTGAAATTGATCAACAACCATATTGCTCAATCACATCATGGCTAAATCCCAACTCTCCAAACACCTATCTCCGACTGTCAATGAAACATCATCCCTTTGGCTATTTCCAACCATAACCTTGATCCTTCAGAAAACGTTAAACTCTCAGCCAAATACTAAACCTCAGGATCTTTCTGGTATTCTTAATCAATTCTCACACCATTTGATACCCAGATTGGTCACCCAATTTATCAACCATCTAGCCAACCCTTTCCATGCCCTCCATTTCTTCAACTGGTCTTCAAACTTAAACCCCAACCCTAACAACTATTTCCACACCCATTTTTGTCACATTGCCATTACTGATAAGCTCCTTTCTAATAAACTGTTTACCTTAGCCCAAAATTTGCTGGAATCCCACAATCGATTTTCTCATTTTATGGTGGAAAAATTTATCAAATCGAGTGGTGACCTCGGTCATTTTAAATGGGCCTTTAAGCTTTTCCATCATGTGAAAGATAGAGAACATAGTGACTGTTTGTTTTCGTATAATGCACTCTTATGAGTTTTGATTAAGTCTGATAAATTCAAATTAGGTTGGGGAATTTTCGGGTAGATGATTAAAGAGGGTATTGTGAAACCTGGTGTTAGTACTTATACTACAATGACCAAAGGTTTCTGGCAGGTGGGCATCATTGACCATGCCCACAAGTTGTTTGATGAAATGGGGTGTGAGAAAAACTTGGTCACTTATAATGCAATGGTCAATGGGTTTTGTAAGAAAGGTTTAACAGAGTCTGCTTGTAAAATTTTTGACGAAATGGTTGAGAGCGGGATTTGCATGCCTGACATTGTTACTTTTACCTCTTTGATTGATGGGTTTTGTAAGAAAGGGGAAATAGATAAGGCTATGAGGTGCTTTGATGAGATGAAAGTGGAGCCTAATTTGGTTACTTACAATGCCCTCATTGATGGATTCTGTTCGAATGGAGATGTTGATGAGGCGAAGAAGATGATGACTAGGATGAGATTTCAATGGTTTGAAGAGTGACACTGTTTTGCATACGGCTCTGTTGAAGGGCTATTGTGCTGCTGGGAGATCTGATGAGGCTATTGAACATTTCAAGGAGATGGTTAAATTGGGATTGGAGCTTGATCAGAAATCACATGTTGTTATTGTCAATGAGTAGGCAGACATCCATTAGTGTACGCTTACAATGCTGTTCTGACGTGTCTAGTAGAGCTAGATCAGCTTGATAGAGCTGTTAATCTTTTGAAGCAGATGCCCTTGATGGGTGTCTCTCCTAACTTCCTATCCTATAACGCTGTGATTATTGGTCTTGCGAGAGCTCACGGAAGGACGTGTGATGTAGAGATGCTGGTGAATGACATGCTTCAAAATGGTCAAAGGATGGATGCTACTTTATACAGTCACATAATCTTGGGATATTGTGAAGATGGAAGCCTTGATAAGGCATTGAAGGTTTTCTTGGAAATGATCGATGAGAATTACACGATGAATCTTGAGTTCTTTGAAGTAATTTCCAAGCGATTGATTGCGATAGGGAAGTCATTTGAGATTGAAAATCTCTTTGATACGATAAAACAAAAATGTGGCGTAACTAATATATACGATTATCAGAAGGTCTTAGATGACTGTTTAAGGTGATCGGAGGATTTCAATTGAAAGCCTAAAGCTCTTTAGTGTCCCGAGTCCTAGCAGCACAACACGGCTTGATGTCTTTAGAATTCGAAGGAGAACGACCGAATCCGTTAACCATGAAGATGGCAGTACAATCTAGTGTTTGAGTTGAGACTCTACAGCTTTTTATATTATCAATGTGCTGCATGTAGAACGAGAAAACTCAAAAAAAAAAAAGAAAGAAAAAAAAGAGAAAACCTTGAAAACACACTACTTGCAGTTTCTAATGGGCATCTACTTGCAGTTTCTTCAGAGTATGATTAGAGGTGATGGCTGAAGGAAAGTCAGAACTGGATAAGCAGAATTGCCCACAAGAAGGTATATCTGGTTAGCTCTCAACATAGTGGAGGTTTAATTAAGCAGATGTGTCCGAGTTTCAGGCAGTCTTGATGCTTCTTGGACTTAGATAAGTAGGATGTTTCTGCAATTTGTCTATCCTGGACTCTTGGTTGACAACATAAGATGTGCATATGAAGCTTTTACATTTTAGTTGACAACATAAGATGTGCATATGAAGCTTTTACATTTTTTAGGCTTAGATTTCTCCTGTCAAAGCCAGAAATGCTTTTCATGGATGTTGGGAAACCTTGAAAGCACAAAATGAACCATTCCAGTGATAAATCAATCCTGATTGCTACTGGAAAAAATTTATTTTTGTTAGTAATCAATCTTAATTAGTATATTGGGACGTTGTGCATTTTGTTGCACGCTCTAATTCCTAGGAAAGAGAACAACATGTTAAGGTTCAACTGATCACATATTCAAATCCCGCTAGCTAACTCACAAAAATTACATGTCACGTTCTAACCAAAATTTGAAGATTTTCAAAGACAGCCTAAACAAATATGCCCCGGGATATCTAAAGACCTCAAAAACAACCCAAACACTAGCCCTTCTCTCCTTTCCCTCCAGGAAAAGTTTAGCAAAAAAATTTATAGTCAAACTCTACAATATTCTTCATTTCTGGTGTAATACAAATCGTCATCTTCAAAAAAAATCATGATCACGATTTCATAATCATGTTCATTCATGGATACTAGCATATGTGTATGTTTAAATTCTAAATTCATCCCAAATCACTGTTTTGTTTTTTTTTTTTTTCTCTACTATCAATCTAATACTTTCTCCCAAAAACCTTCATAGTCTTCAAAAGAATCTGTCACATATCAATCCTACTAAATTCATAATTTTTATCTCCATTAACTACAATTTTAATCTTTTTTTTTTCACAAGTCAACTTTAGTTGATTCACAAATTTCAGGCAACGAGGAAAGTCACCTCTGAGTTTACCCACAAAAATTTTCATTATGGCAAACGTCTGATCTTCTCGCAGAAGAGGAGTTTTAACTTGTCATACAACAATCTAACAATCCACAAAAAATCTCCATTATGGCAAAAGTCCGATCTTCTCTCAAAAGAAGAGTTTTGACTTGTCATACAACAATTTAACAATAAAGTTTCCAACAATTTTTCCAAAACATGGTCAGAAGCACTCAAGATCAAGAATTGATGCTGGTCAACAAGAAGATTTTTCACCGCTGATTGTTCGTAAAGATGAGAAGCCGTCAGTACCGTTGAAGCAAACTGAGTCTACAAAAGCCCATGGGGTTCCATCTCAAAATCATTTGGCTATGAAGTAGCCATGGAGCTTATACTCAGAGTCTCCCAACACCGATGTGAGATTGGGGCTCTTTAATACTCCCCACAAGCCCAACGTATTTTTTGAGTTGGGTTTGGCCTATTTTTTTCAATCCAAGCACCGCCTCACGTTTCAGCCCTATTTTTTTTTTGGATTTTTTGAGTCTGAATGTCGGCGGGCTGACTCTAATACTATACAAAAGTCAATGGAGTTCCACTTCAAAACCAATTGACTATGAAGGGAGTAGACCATGAAGCTTATATATTGATATTCAGAGTCTCTCAACACCAATGTAGAATTGAGACTCTTTAATATGATGTGGTGAACGGAAATGGTAAAGGAAAGAGGGATCAACTACAACATTCTATTGATGCGTATGAATCAATGGTTCCGAAGCAGCAGGAAAACAACAAAGAAGACTGTTGTGTGACCTGAAGTCCTCCAGAAGTGATTGGCCCGGACAAAAAAAATTTCGGAGTTCAGGTGAGAAGGGGTAGGAGAATGAAAGACTTTCATATAGATAGTTCACCCAGATTGGCATCCCTCCCTAGGCATGACATTTTCGAAGATATCCGAATTATATATGGATGGAGCAATGCATTCCAGGGAGTACAAAAGACTTCGATCCAAGACGTGTAGTGAACAGAAATGGTTTACTCCTGTAAAATGTAAGAAGTCAACGCTCAATTGTGTAGCCAGAAAATAGTACAACTGACAAGCTTCCTCCTAATTAGTAACAATTTTAGTTCATAGAAAGATTGCGTAATTAACCAAAAGGGTCGTGGTAAAGTGATAAGGACTCCTCTATCCCTAATCATAGGTTGATAGTTCGAACCTCGACATGGGCATGAAGCAATTATAAATCTTTTGGCCATCTCTCCCACCCATCAAGATGAGCGAGGGAGATTAATCATTGTTGCCGACAATGAACACCCTGCAATATGAAAAAAAAAAAAAATGCGTAATTTAGGATGGATTTTTGCCTGGAAATAATTAGAGGTCATAATTAAACGAATTTGGATTTCTCATTTGTTTTGTTTTTGAACTCCTTTTGCTCTTACTTCATTGATGTTAAGTGCCAAAAAAAATGGTTACTTTCAAAATCGTAAATCTTAAAATTGAAATTATGAGATTGGTATAGTCTAAATTTTATTATTAAATTGATGAATAGTCAAAAAAATTTATTCATTTTTTCATTTCAATTTTTTTAATTTGCAAGATTGAATTATCTAATTTTTACATTTTAGTTTTTCAATTTGGATTATCTGTTTGGAACATTTTAATAGTCTGTCATACCCCTAAACTACAATCATACACATAGCTCTATTGTTATTTTTATTATTTTTAAAAATCCTATTTCGAATACCGAGTTTTCAAAACATAATTTTTTATTTTATTTTATTTTTATTTTTTGAAGTTTCCAACAATTTTAGAAAAGAATTTTTTTTAAAATTAATATTAAATCATTTTAACGTGTTTCGAATTCTTAGTTTTCAAGACTCCTTTTTTGTGTCAACAGTTCAAAAACTACCCTTCCTTCCCGTGTCAACAATTTGAATTTTAGCCTCTCTTTGGGTAATTTTAGGGAAAAGATGTAGAGGAAGAAGGACGAAAACGAATGCACTCGAGATCCAAATCGTGCAATTTTCAGAGATTTCAAGACCTTCACTAATTCCCTTGTAGAGGAATTCAAAGTTGCGAGGAAGAAAATGCTGGTGCAAATGCGGAAACAGAGAGCGAAATTGGTGATTGCCAAAAAGCTAGTTTCGAGGAAGAGTTGTGCCCATAAATTCCGACAAAGCCATGCAGCATCAATCTGGAAACAAATCAGGAGGTGGGAAAAGTCAAACTTCCAATAAGAAAGGATTGACTAAAGGAGAAACTCAAAGCAATGATAAGCGTAAAATAGTTGGCGGCAAATAGAAATAAAAAAGTTTAGTTGCACCTAGCGAAGAAACCATGAGATGTTCCTAATGATTCTGGTTAGATAGATTCTTCTCTTTGTGGGAATTATAAGACTAATGCTAACATTCTAAGTACTTGCTAGAGATCCCAACCAGCAGATCACATGGGAAGTTTTGATCAAATCACTTCATCAAAAGATGCAACAACAAAGCTCACAAACAACATCAACAACGCTTTCTAGTGATGATGAATTCAACCACCTCAGAAACCGATTGGCTCAGAAGAACAACAACAAGATGATGGATCAATTAGGGGATTTGTTGAAAGAAGCCAAATGTTTTGAATGGTGCGAATTTATTGAATGTGAACTATGATTAGTGATGGAGGAATGATTTGTGTTATCTTCTAGTTCTGGTGATACCAAAAGAGACATTTTCTGAATTGAAAATATAGCCATGTGCACCAAACCTCATCCAGAAAATAAATGAGGACTTTGATGATTTCCAGAGTTCCAGTTGTATTTGAAAATTTTAGCTTCCAATAAAAAAAATAAATAAATTACTTTTTTTTTCTTTTTCTAAAAGCATAAGGTAAAATTATAACTGTTACTGTATTTCGTAAAAACTTTTCACATTCTTTGTGTTTTCAGAATTAAGGTAATACATTCTTTAAAAATAACCGTTTGATTTGATTTTTTTTAATTTTTTTACTATTTTCTTGAAGTAATGCTTAAGAAAATTATTTAAAATCGGAAAGAAGATTAAATAACATTAAATATTTAACCATTACAATCAACGCCAGCTCTGATACTACACATCATAGGCTAGCTTCACAATTCATCCAACATCGAAGGAATAATAATAACAAAATAAAAAAATTGATAACCCGCCTATAAATGCAAAACGAAATAGAATAGTGACAAAAGTGACATATTTATAAACTACATAAAACTGTTCCCAAAAAAAATATATGGTATTTAGAGAAAAGGAAAAATTGGTTCTGAGAGGATTTTGCTGTGGATGGTAATTCTTGCTCTAAGCAAACCTTAAAATCATCTACTAGAGTTGTTATTCTTAAGAGGATTCACAACAATGGTGTAAACGTTGTGTAATGTCAGTGTAAAAAAAGAGTACATCCATTGGAGAAAATTTAATTTTGTCAGCAGTAGCAAAATTTTGATACCATTGAATCTGACAAAAGTGGGGCATGAAACGGGACCGTGGTGAGCCGCTCAGCCCAGCCCCATTCTTTTATTTATTTATTTATTTATTTTTCTTTCCGGGGCATAAATGGTCAGCCATCATTCCTTTTCTCTTTTATTTTTCTTTTTTGCGCCATTTCGCTTTCTTTCTTTTTTTTTTTTGTTAATTATGTTTTTGTGACCGTTATAAGCCCTTTTTTTTTGTCTTCTTCACAACATCTCCAAAAAAAAAATATATCTTCATTTTGGTTGTCAAATTTGTGGCCATAGAAATTTTTTGAACGTTGAAAAAACTAGCTGTTTTTAAATGTTTGCACTATAATTTGATAATTTTTTTAAGAGAATAATTTAAAATTTTGCCTATAAATACCCCCAATATTGATTTTCATAACACACCACTTTCTCTATTTCTCTTCTCTTCTATACTTATAGTTCTTTCTTTACTACACATCAACTATTCAATTTTTTTCTTCCATTTTCTACTACCATGAGCCGAAAAAATAACAAAAATAATCCTACAAACAATGCAAATCTGTCTCACAATTTTCCAAATTCTCCCCGCCCCCAAAATTTTCATCCTAATATGCAAAATTTTGGATATCCTCAAAATTTGGGTACCCCAAATTTGCCTCCTTATGTCCCAAATCCATTCGTGATGTATCAACCGCCCGGTTATTTTTCTCAAATGATTGGAAATAATTTTTCAATGGGATTTACAAATACGGGTTCGTCTTCCGGAAGTCTACCTACACTGGTTTCAACAAGAGGAGACGGGATGATGACGATGAACTTGTTGAACTTCGACAAAAAATGATGGATCTGGAAGCCAAAAAATTAGAGCAACAAAAATTTTACAATCAGGCATACATGAGGCATACGGTTACCAAAGAATATGAAATTTTGACGAAAGACACCTCGAATATGACACCAGAACAACGAGCAAGACATGAACTTTTAGTTGAAAAAATCTTGTCTAATTATAGATAGTCATGTTAGGTTATTATTTTGAATTAGTTATTTTCATTGCGAGTTTTTAGTTTTATTTAAACTAAAATGTAAGAGTTGTGTCACTGTATTTGAATTTTATTACATCATATATTGTGTTTTAAATATGAAGTATTATTATGTTTACCGCATCGTATACTTATTATTGTACAACTTATAATTAATTGCATGAAAAAAGTAAAAAAAAATAATAAATTCGAAACAATTTGGAGAAACTCAAAAAACTCATAAAAAATTAAGTATTAAATACTTTAAATGAATAAAAACATTGATGATGTAGTCACTTCATTATTTTTTCATTTGTCCATACGTATCACAGTGTAGTCACATCTCTCTTTTTATCTTGTCCATTAAATACATTGATAGTGTAGTCACGTCATTCTTTTTTCATTTGTCCATATGTATCACAGTGTAGTCACATTTCTCTTTTTATCTTGTCCATTAAATACATTGATAGTGTAGTCACGTCATTCTTTTTTCATTTGTCCATACGTATCACAGTATAGTTACATCTCTCTTTTTATCTTGTCCATTAAATACATTGATAGTGTAGTTATGTCATTCTTTTTTCATTTGTACATACGTATCACCGTGTAGTCACATCTCTCTTTTTATCTTGTCCATTAAATATATTAATAGTGTAGTCACGTCATTCATTTTTTATTTGTCTATGCATACCATAGTGTAGTCACATCTCTCTCATTATCTTTTCCATACATTGGATAATATAGTCAAATCTTTTTTTGATCTTGTTGCATGTTACTCTATAAATATGGAATAAGACTAGTAATATTATTCAAGCCTTTTCAACTCTTTGGTATGCATATATTTTGCAACAACTCTCACACACAACCATGTCTCAAAATTTTCTTCCCCATTTTGATCCCTCT